CTTAAATCCTCACTTAGAATGACCTTACAATCTTTACATTCTCGACGATTTCTTCTTCTCATAAGAAAATAATTAATTTGTGTTTTATTAGATTCATTCTTATAAATAATAATATGCTCATCTCTTTTCTTGAATAAAATAATAGCAATAACAAAATCATACGCTAAAACAAGATCTAATGTGACTATACCGCCTTCATTAATCACTCCAAGGCTTACTCATAAAAGTAATTTTATTTGTGTCTTTTAAGCACTCACATCTAATTTCATGACAATGATTCCTAGTATTCTTTATTTTACAACTCTTTATCTTAAAATCTAGAACTAATAATCGTTATTGAGTACTTAAATCCTCACTTAGAATGACCTTACAATCTTTACATTCTCGACGATTTCTTCTTCTCATAAGAAAATAATTAATTTGTGTTTTATTAGATTCATTCTTATAAATAATAATATGCTCATCTCTTTTCTTGAATAAAATAATAGCAATAACAAAATCATACGCTAAAACAAGATCTAATGTGACTATACCGCCTTCATTAATCACTCCAAGGCCGTAGCCACTATGAATATTTTTAAAATCTTCTACCACTCTTCTGACATGTTCATTTAAATCTCCTCCATTAAAAATTCTTTCGCCAGGAGGTATCAATTGTATTAAGTCTTCTAGGTTATTCCAAATTTTATCTTTAGAACCTATATCTAAACCTACTTGAGGAGCATAAGCACTTATAATATTAAAAATCTTAGAATCAACAATAATCTTAAGGGCTATAATTATATCTCCAATTATATTAATTTTTACAATATTTATCTTTCAAACTCTTATCTATAATTACACCTACACCATTTCCAATTTGATTAAAGAAGAGATAATGATGGTTGGCCCTTCAAATATTATTCAAGTAATTATTGATAATGCTCCCGAGTGTAGGGCAACTAGTTTACTTGTTGAGCAAATATATCGTCATAGCTTTTGGACACCTTACAATGCTCATACCCTTAATATTTCCTTAAAGTTGAATGTCATTAAAAGATACTTAAGAAAATGTGAACACATACAATGAAAGTCATTGGATTACAATGGTTGTTAGAGAGGTCGGTAGAGATGTTATTTTTAAAAGATTTTTATCATGAATGATTCTATGAGGCTTTCTACATTCAATTAATTCTTCAATTTGGAAGCGTTTGTTGTTGGTGAATTTAGATTTTCTTCAGTTATTGTGATGCTAAAAAGATCTAAACCAACTAAAAATGCATTTCAAGCAAAGTTGATTGGTGAAAGATAGTCATGTTATCGTAAACATGATGTGAAAAAGACAAGATATGTGAATGAGAAAACATTTTATGATTTTTGGTGAGATAAAGTTGAATATATCCTATCTTTTACCGATCATATTTACCACATGTTTCGAGTTGCAAATACAAATATATCATGCTTGCACTTGATTTATGAGATGTGGGATACATGTTATGTAAAGTGAAAGAAAAAATACATAAATATGAAAGAAAGATGAATGATGAAGAGTTCAATTTTTGGAGTGTTGTACATATACTTTTGGAAGATATGCAAAGCAAAAGTAACACACCCTTGCAGTGCTTAGCTCGTTCATTAAATCCAAGGTTTTTTTTTTCTAACTTACTTTTATTTCATTAAGTTAGAATCACATAAATCTATACATATGTGGAAGATATTCAAGGAATTGCTCGAGGAGAATCCTCAATGAGTTTGCCCTCAAAGAAATTTGAAAATTTCAAATATGAGAAAAGTTTGTTTGAAGCATTATTTTTCAAATGATGATGAGAGATGACAGATAAATGTGCATTTAACTAAGCTTTTTGGATATTTAGATGAATTTGGAGATCAAGAGTTTATGTGATAGGTGGAAGATGAATCAAAAGATGTGATGGTTCATTCATGGAGCTTCAGTTTCTTTATTTCAAATTATTTCCATAAAACTTCTTGGACAAGTTCTCTCCTCATGTTCTGAGAGAAATTGGACCACTTACTCATTTATACAATCAATGAAGTGGAACAAATAAATTCACAACAAGCTGATGATTAAGTTTATGTGCATACTTACTTTGATTTGTTATCAAGAAAGACTCCAAATTACATGGAATGTGATAATAAGATTTGCGACGTTGTAGAAGATGGTTTTGAGATCATCGACGATACAATAATTTTGGATATTGCAAACCTTTATCTTGATGAGTCGAAGTTGGAATATGAGATATTTAATGATGTGATAGTCGATGTGAACTGTGAAGTAGAAGTACATGCCAAAGAAGCCGGTCATCCATATATTTTCTTTTAATGAATTAACGATAACGAAGTTAAATTTTGATGTAATACAAGATAATATATGTTCTTATGCCTGTATTTTGTATGTCATAAACAAAAGATATATTTATGAGTATCTTAATTATTGAAAGTTAATCTTATTAACTCTTATCTTTTATTTATTCAATATATACTTATATTTTTAATAATTTTTATTAAAACAATGTGTCTAACATGTGTTCGTGACCTATATTTTCAGTACTAAGAATGTCGTGTTTGTATCGTGTCTTGTCCACATATCCATGCCCACGCAACATAGCTTCCTACATCTTGTAAATAACATGTCTTTGATTGTACCAAGTCTTCTTGCATTATGATCACCAATCCAATCTCAGTTTCACTGCCACAGATGATACGTCGAAATGTTAATGTTAACCCTGAACGTGTTTAGAATTGTTTTGCCCAAAATGCAATAGTAGGTAATAGGAGTGTCTACTATCACAAAATCCGACATTACGTTAAATTGCTTCTCTTCTTCACCCTATATCACCAATAAAAATATTACACCGCATCTCATTTCTTTCTCCTAAAAAGTCGCACAACGTTCCTAAAGTAAGCACCAGATGCAATTCGACGGATGCAACTTCTCAAGCACCTTGTTGAACAAAATATTAATTAAACTATCAGTATCAATCAGAATGCTCCCTATTTGATAGTTCAAAAGCAACAACGTTAAATGAATTGCATCATTATATGAATTCTCATTCACAAGCAAGTTTTCATCAGTAAAGATGATTGAAGGCTGAGTCGATACCACTGACATTGAGGTATTCACTAAGTTCACTTCTCCTAACTTAAGTACTTTGAGGGTAAACTGGCGAGAAGCCTCAAGTCCATCTCTTCTCAAAATCATTGGTGCCACTCATGCAATAAGAACTTGTGCCAGGGCAAGCTCTTTATGCTCTTCATTCATGGGAGATTTCTGTTGTATTCTTGTGTTCAAGCCTTATGCCACCAGCTCCTTCAACTTCTCAGCCTTGATTAGCTCTTCAATTAAATTTTGAGGTGCCAACAATCCTCAGTGTGATGGCCATGATCTCGATAATATACACGATACTTGCTCTGGTCACACAAGCGACCTACTGTCCTCGGTGACGCAGGTTTCTTAAAAAACTTTATTTCGGATGTCCTCGATAATTTCAGCCACGGTGACACTTGGCGGAGTCACTCTTAGAATTGGACGACTAGGAGGCTCTAGCCTCCTCTCCTGTCAACTTGTTGTTGGTATTCTATTGAATCGACTACTCTCCTTCAGGCGACTTGTTCTTTTTATAAAAGTTCTCTGTAAACTTATTTGGCCAAGGCAACTTCTCATCTCCATCAAGTTCCTATAAAGATGCCTTCTAAATTGACTGTTGTGCTCTCAATTCTTCACTCCAGATGAAGTCAACAACAAATTATACTCATCAGTAAATATGTGATTATTCATCAACTCTTAAAGCTCCACCAAGACTTTTAAGCACTGCAAACTAAGAGCATAATTGAACATACCCTCTATCAAGCCCCGAGCCAATGCAACACGAGCAATTGCTAGTTCCAAGTATATCACCTCCAACATCTTCTGCTGAAATCTAGTGACAAAGCACCTCAAGCTTTCCCAAAATGCCTAGCAAATTCTCAGTAAAGCCTAAGAACATTTCTGCAACTTATGCATACTGACGAATTAAGCGATAAAGATACATTTGAAGTCTCCATACAAGAAGTGAACCAACCCTATAGGTTAATTGCTGAACCAGTGAAGAGTTGATCCTTCAAATTCATAAAGAATAATTTGCATTTCAAACTTTCATTGACCTTTAGCATGCATAAAGTTGACTCGACCAAACCATCATGGCCAGCAGAGCCTAACCTTCCTTTGCAAGATTCCATAAACAAAATTTTAAACTTTGTTGGCGCTTCAATTTCTACTATCTCCCTTGAGAAAACATTCTCTAACACTTCCTCCATGAGGACTTTATCAAACTCTAGCTGCCTATTAAGTCTCCCAAATACAAAACATGATTTCCAAAAAATCATAAATGGGTATCATTTCCATCAAAGTCTATGAGATGCATTCCTTCTCCCCAATCAAGAAGCCTTTGGGCCAAACAACAGTTGCCAGAATGAATAAAAGCATGCCTCTAAATCACTCCCACATGTAGCACAAAAAATAAAAAAAATCTAGCCAACATCAAACCAACTACATCCAAGCCTCTTTTTAAGTCCCTTCTCTTTCAACAATCTCAAAACACCATTTGAACTCTCCATCTTTCCAAATAAGACATAAATATCAGCCAGCATCAAATAGTTAGCCGCATTTCCTGGCTCCAACCTAAAAAGATGTCTAGCAGCTTCCTCCCCAATAATCAAATTTCCATGCACTCTGCAACCACTGAGCAAAATTCCCCAAAGAACACAACTGGTGCTATCCTCTAAACTTAAATCCTTTAACAAACGGTGTGCGTCAACCAAAAGCCCGGCTCTACAAAACAGGTCAATCAAGCATGTCAAATGCTCGATACCTGGACTCAATCCATATCCTTCCATGGATTCATAAACTTCCCTCCCTTTCTCCACAAATCCTCCATGACTGCAAGCAGACAAGAGCGCCGCAAAAGTGAACTTGTTTGGCCTCACTTTTTCGTCAGCCATGAGCGTGAAAAGGCCGAAAGCCCCTTCGTCATCCCCGTTCCGAGCACATGCTCCGATTATTGAGCTCCACGAGACCACATTCTTCTCTTGTATGCCTCTGAATACGTCATAAGAACTCTCAAGTTTTCCAACTTGACCATACATATCAATCAACGAATTTGCAACAACTCTTTCAGATTCGAATCCCCTCCTAACAATCAAAGCATGAGTTTCAGCTCCTTTTCTTAATAGAAGATTTGCTGAGATGATTGAAATCAACATTAAGAAGGTAGCTTTGTCGAGATGAATTCCTCTCCTCTGCATTTGAAGCGAAAGCTCAAAGACCACGCGAAAGTCTCCCGTCTCACCACACGCTTTCATCAAAGCATTCCATGCGATCACATCTCCTTTCACCCTCACATCCGTCTCGAGCAATTGAAAGGCAATCTCCATCTTGCCGCAACATGCATGCATGTATATAAGCGCCGTGATTAGAGATGCATCGGAGGCCATGTCATCGTTGTTGCTTGACAAGAAGGTTGTCTGGATCCACCGTCCCGTTTCCCAATTGCCAAGCGATGCAGAAGCAAGAAGTCCATTGAGTAATATCGGCCTTGTGGGTGAAATTCCGGTGTTGAGGAGCATCCAATATAGTGTATTGAGGGCTTTAGAAGGTTGCCCATTTTGAAGATATCCCCCAATTATAGAACTAAATGAAATTGAATCCTTCAGAACCATTCTATCAAAGAACTGAACTGCAATCTCTAAACATCCACATTTAATATACATTTCTAACAGAGAATTTAACACCAGCTGATTTCTCTCAAAACCAGTTATAATTATGAGTGCATGAAGAGCCTGACCAGTCGAAATCCAACCTTCTTCTCCACAACAAGAAAGAAGGCTCACTAAGCTGCTTTCAGCAGCGCAGATCCCTTCAACAATTCTCATCTTCCCGAATAGTTTCATAGCCTCTAATAACAATCTGGCTTGGGAATAGCCAGAAATCATGGCGTTCCAGGACACGATGTCCTTAACTGACATCTGATCGAACACCTGACGTGCAGACTCGATTTCACCCGCCTTCGCATTCAAGACAACCAAAGCCGTGGCAACAAGAAGATCGGATTGAAACCCTAGGCTCCGCGCATGGCTTCCGACCATGAAACCAATATCGAATTCGGATAAGCGCGTGCAGGCGGTGAGGGCAAGATGGAAAGTGTGCCTGTCAGGCTCGCACTCCGGCGGAAAACGAGCCGTCATCTCCCGGAAGACGTCGAGCGCGAGACGAGGAAGTCCGCATCGCAGGTATCCGCTTATAAGTGAATTCCAGAGGAGGGGCTTCGTGAGACGGCCGGATTGGCCGTCGAAGAGGAGTCGGGCGGCGCCGGCGTTGCGAAAGGCGAAGTATTTGGCAATGAGGAGGGTAGAGATGAAGAGGTTATGGCGGAGTCCGGAAGTGACGACACGCGCATGTAAGCATTGGAGGAGCTTGGAGGAGAAGCAGCGAGTGGAGATGGTCTCTGCAAGTGACTCTTTAAGTTGTTGCCAGGTTAGATGGTGGTGGCGGATTGTCGATGAGTGTCGATTTGAAGACGACGGAGGAGAATCAACAACTGGGCTGAGAGTTTGGAATGCGCGCGCCGCGCGGGGGATCGTTTGGCGTCGATTATTGCAGGATTCCTGCTCGCGAATCACGATCATAAGGTGGTGGAAGGGAGGGCGGCATGGAAAACTGAACAGCTAAAATGCGCGGCAAGCTGGAGTCTCAGGTCAGTGAAAATGTTAACTGAGGGCTGAAGTGGCACACAAAATGTTAAATGATGAATAAAGATTGTGCAATAATATTTAGGGAATTTTTTATATTGTGTACACACATACTGGATTATGGGGTCGGGACCGCCCTACCAAGTGGTGGAATCGCAATGATCAACCAAAGAGGCTAAGTGAGTATTGAGGGCTAGAATCTAGCTTGAAATACCATCAGATCAATATTAAATGCATTTGTTAATTTTTGAGACAAAGGACAACCATAAAACCTTTCAATCAAAGATGTAAGAGGAAGCTTGCTCAGATCAATATTAAATGCATTTGTTAATTTTTGAGGCAAAGGACAACCATAAAACCCTTCAATCAAAGATGTAAGAGGAAGCTTACCAATGAAGGAGAAAACACTGTAGTCAAGATTCTAGGTTGATGGCCTGATGGTCTGTCACGTATAAATGAAGATCTGAGGCTGAGAGCTTTATCTCTCTCCTTTTCTCACTCTAAGCAATCGAGGAATTCTCCTTGGGATAGCGTGCATCTCCGGAGGAGAGGAGTTTGACACTTTTTTTCAGAGCTTACATCAAGAATTGTTGTCCATCTCTCTACTTCCCACTTTCTTTTTTTTTTGTTAATAGTCATACAGGGCCTTCTGCCGAATTATATGATATCACGAATTTTTTGGGATCTTACGTTGCAAAATAGATTTATCATATATATATACCACCTAATTCTTATATCTTTGCATTTCTAACAACTAAATTTTGATATTTACATTTAAGGACATTACATGCGCCACAATTAGTATGTATATACATACCTAACACATTTACATGCATATCATTCACATCTTCAACATCACAGTACCATCATCAATACTTTCTTAAAACAAAATACATACTTTCACGCATTAGTTGCAAGCATAAATATCGACTTTTGGGCATCAAATATGTAAATAGTACATACATAAGAATTGCATGATAAGTATATAAATTTTCTTATATTTACAACACCTTGTTAAAAAAATATGCATGGAAAAATCATATTTCAAAATTAAAAACTTAATAATAGTGATATTTTTATATAATTTTAAAAAAAATCGGAGCTTAAATGTGGATACGATAGATATGCAACTATATATGAATTATGCAGTATTTATGTAAAGTGACTCAAATATATTATAGAGTTCAAGATATAGCCCTTGATAATTAGGGTAACTAGAAGACCATCCGCATGGCAACTAAAAACATAACATATATGCATTACTAAGGGGGTGTTTGATAGCTCCATATTAATAGGAATTGTGGCCTGATTTTACAAAATTCAACCAAGATTAAAAAAAAAAATGTGTTTGATGAATTTATAAAATTTCTGATTTAACGTCCGAATTTTACCTTCGTTTCATGTTAAATCCAAATTTAATAAATTCTGAAAAAAGGTGGATTTCATGAATCCGAATTTATTCAATCCTATGAACATTAAATTCTTCATGCAGTCAAACACCCCCTAAAGATGATTTGAAAGTTCAATGAAGTGTTATATGTTGTGATCCCGCTCAACAACTAATCTTTTAGAGACAACATCATCACTAGGAGTGAGAGTTACCATCCTCAAAACATGAGCGACTTATAGACAAAGATGACCACAAACGAGTGAAAGCATTTCATCAAATATCTTATCAAACAAGAAAGACCTAACACCATGCGAAGACATTTTTCTCAAAATGACTCCAAGAAGACTTGAATAGAAGAAAATGGTAGAATTACATACCACAAAATTCTTATGTGTTTACATATCTAACACCTACACTTCAATATTTACATACATGTGAGCTTACCTGTGCACGAAAAAATATATTCACTTTTTAAAAGTTAAAATGATAGCACTTTTGATGTGATATGAAAGATTTGGGTGGTATTAATATAAAAATTGAGGGATCCCAAAGAAGGTTGCAGCAGCTTGTGGATGATCACTGAGATTTCCTAATCGCCTTCAGGTATTATAAAGAAAGTAAACAATTAGACCAATAACCATCAAGGTGCTGAAAATAAGATGGTGGCTGATGAATGCACAAAGAATGCTTAAGCTAAACTTAAGCTGCCACCAAACCATAATAAGATGGGAAAATAGATAGGATGAATGGAACAATTACACAATTAATTTTAAAATAAAACTATAAATTAAAAATAGTTATATATATATATAATGCGTTCCTTGGAGATTTTGCACTCACTGAATAATTAAAAAAAAAGGTTATAATTTTTAAATATTTGAGTCATTGAAGTAAAACACACATTGATTAAAATTTCTGAAACAAAAACTAATGTATTGTGGCTTAGTAATATGCATGTAGAAAGACAATTATAAATTAAAATAGAAATACTAGCAACATTAACAGAATCAGCTAAAACAAAAATATCAAAAATATATAATATACTGCTACTCGACCTGCAGGTTTCTCAGGGTAAAACTGCCGAGTGTCAAAACTTTAAATTTCCAGACACGTAAAGCCTCAAGCAAGGAAGAACTCCTCGGGAGTAAAGAATTTTAAGCCTATTGCCTGTAAGAAAGGAAATTAAAAAAAAAGTCACTATTTCACATTTAGACAGAGAAGGTCAAATTATATATTTAAGGAGGATTTACATGCACACCACTCATTACCCATGTATTTACATATCTAACACCTAAACTTCAAGCAGTGTTTTACTTCTTAAAAGTTAAAATGGTGGTTTTTTGAATGTGATGAAAGACTTGGGCGGTATAAACATAAAAAAAAAAGTAAAGTTTAGCAGTTAGATATGTCAATACATATGAATTGGGTGGTATATATGTAAATGCCGATATATTTAAATAGCACAAGGAAGCAGCTCCATAGAAATATACTCTTCATGTGAAGAAGTGTTCTCTCAAAATTCAGAATGATGAAATGCAAAGCAAATGCAAATAAGATAATAACATGGTTATTCAGAAGAATGCAACACTAATCAAAACTGTTTTCGTAACAAATAGATTGACATACTCGAAAATTTAATGAAGATAGATTCTGCAAAAAAGTAATAACATTTAGCATTACAAAAGTAAAAAAGGAAGATTTACAAGCCACCACTAAATTCCTATGTATTTACATATCTACACATAAAATTCATTTTTTGCATGCATGCCACCATACCTAAGCATGAAAAGGTGTATTTCACCCATTAAAAGTTACAATAGTGGTATTTTTTATTTGATATGAAGGACCTGAGTGGTAGAAATGTAAAAAACAAAAAGATAAAGTAGTGAGTGGTAGAAATGTAAAAAACAAAAAGATAAAGTGGTAGATATGTAAATATATCGGAATTGGTTGGTATGTATGTAAATGCCACAAGTAAAAAAACTGAAAACCGATCATGCCCGAGCAAATTTGATGTCAGCATCACTATGGTCTTTTGTTCTTCCAGCTGCATCACCAACATAAAAGGACCTGAAAGTAGGCCGTATTTAAATTAGTTATTTCATCAATATAAAACATTATACAAAAAGCAAAAACAATGAAAAAATTTCATTACCAAAGAAATTGACATGAATAAAAGCGGCTTTCTTTCGCTTTCGGATAAATATACAGCAAAATTGTAGTTTTCCATGATAAAAGTATCACTAGCTGCAGCTATAATTTCCCGCATAATGTAAACTCTCACGAATTTTTAAATGCATTACATCGATGGAAAATTATTGTTTGAAGACAGAATGTGCAATTGCAGGGTATGCCTGGTGTTTTGAATGAAAATTTTCAAAGAATATCATCTCTCAAAACTAGCTCCGCACATCAACCAGATGAAATGGAATAGAAGGAAGATTAACATGCATACAGCTTAATTACTATGTATTTTCATATCTAACACTTAAACTTCACTTATCACATACATGTCATCTTACCTATGCATGAAAAGGTGTATTTCACCTTTTAAAAGTTACAATGGTGGTATTGTTTCTGTGATATAAAAGGTTGAGTGGTATAAATGTAAAAACTATAGTAAAAGTGTTAGATTGTATTTCACCTTTTAAAAGTTACAATGGTGGTATTTTTTCTGTGATATAAAAGGTTGAGTGGTATAAATCTAAAAACTATAGTAAAAGTGTTAGATATGTAAAGTATCAGGTAGTATGTATGTAAATGCCCAAAAAAAAAAAGCAAAGTATATAGTAGAAAGCGAACTGAATGTGCTATATATAGAAATATGATTAAGAATATAAGCAATCATGCTTTTCTTCTGCAGTGCTACAGGTTATGCGCTTTAGGAAGTTCATAAGTGAGAGGAAAGCTTTGTAATTGGCTGAACATAAGCTAGTTCGTTGGATAAGCCAAAATAGTTAATTCCATCTACTAAATATGACACAAACCAGCTCGATTATGTTGATATATATATATATAGGAGCTCCGGTTTCTTATAAAGATTGAAAAATGAAGAGTTTTCACAGTTTAAAAAAAAGAGTCAGTTAATTGTTCTTCACTTGTGATGCGAACTGATGTATTTTTTGACAAGATTGCATCACTAATGAAGCATCAATCTGCTTAAATATATTTGATTATTTTATGTAAGATAAAATCGCGCATAAAATATAGAATATGAGAATCATAAGCTGCGTAATTAAAAAACTAAGTTTTCCTACAAAAGTTTTAATACACAACATTCCACAAGTAAAATGCTCCATGGTTCTATTTTTAGCTTCAAAAGTATAGATCTAGTAGCAATAGTCTACTTATTTTTCCAAAACAAGATTTCATATCATGAAGGCGGAATCCTGATGTAAACTTTCAATATTCAATAGATCTTGTGCAATCGATGTAGACTTTGAATCTTAAATAGATCTTGCACAGTGGACATTTAAGAAGCTTTAATCCTTCAAATGATCATGTTTCTACTAGATTATATCTAGATGTGTCAAACCTAGTTTGTGATTTGGGTTCCGGTCCAACTCAAAATTGACCTACCCGAAAATATTTGACCTGAAATCAATCCAAATATTAAACATGTCAAAAGGTCAAAAAAATCAAACCCGACTCGTCTTTAACTTGCTAACCCATACTTAAACAGCATAACCCATTTAACATAATACATAACGGTTATTTGGGTCAAATTCAAGCCAATTTTGAGTTGATCTCATGTCAATTTCGAGTTTGTGGGTCAATTTTGAGTCAATGAGGTTAGTGGGTCAATTATGGGCCGATTAAGAATTGGCAGGTTAACCAAAATTTGACAAAAAATTATTCGGGTCAATTCGAACCAGAATTTTTCAAATCGAGTTTGGTTCAACATTTCAA